AACTATCAAAACGCCTGCCATTTGAAATAAATAAGTAAATTTAAGGTGAACCGGTTCATTGGTTCTGGCGACCTGTTCAGCTCCATAGGAAGAAGTTTTAATGGCTTATCAACGACCTTCTTCCCTCTAAGTAAGGATTTGATTAGCTGCCTGATTAGTTAACAATTTCAGCAATGGCGAGGTAGAATATTCAGGCGCGATTATAATGAGGGCGATTATCTAGTTTACTTTGATTGAAGTCTGAATTTCAATCAAATGCTGTCCAAATGCCTTTCTGTACAGACTAAATGATGCTATAAACATCTGAACAGATTGTTTATGTTGAATTATTTTCTTCCTTCCGTGTTCGTTTACGGTGTCATGGGTTTTACTGATGTTTGTCCTGCAAAAATAAACGAGTGGAATTCCACCAAATTGAAGAACTTGTCACATGTAAGGTTGCGTGTATAAGGGGTTTGGGGGGGGGGGTCGGGGTGGAGGTGTGGTCAGTTAGGCTTATTGGAATCTGTATGCTTTTACCCCACTTTTCTCACTTTCTCTTTTCCTCATTTGCTTGCCTGCACAGGTCATAGCCAAGGTGTTAATTGCACACTTTGTACAGGATGATTGAGATTTTGGAAAAAATAATGGGAAAAATGTTTGATAAAAATGGAGCATGAGAATAATGCAATTGATAAAATATTCCTCTCAAAATTCGATTAATCTACTCTTACATTGGTCTCACTATTGCATTATGATTTCTGTTGTATTGATTTTTTTGAAAAGCTGTTAACGGTCTTCACTCTGACCTAAGTATGTACTTCTGTGTTGATCATTTCGCATACTAGTAACCGGTTTCTGAGCGTGATGTGTAAATAAATTGGCGAATTCTTCACAAGAACTTCCCTTTCGATCGCCTTTGACAACCGGACTTGTTACGGTTTAGACGTATCCTTTAAGCACCCCCCTCCCCCCCCCCCCCCCCCCCCACACTACAACTACCATTACTGCCACTTTCGGTCAAACGATTTTTCACAAGAGACTTCAGATGGACCTACAATTAATGGTGTGGCTGGTATTTCATACCTTAAAAAGTATTCAAATTTGTTCCATTTTCTTCTGCGGTATCCACCAGTCCTGGAGGGTTTGTAAACGTGCATTCGAGTGTTTGCAGAAGTGTAGAGTATTTTTTTGCTGTATAGAAGGGACTCTAACCCGTAACTGCAATGACTATTGTAATGCTAATATTCTACTAAACCTCGACTAATTGGCTAAATCGGTGCCAAGTGGACATCATTATTATTATCTCCTTTTAAGTGTGGCTTTTTATAAACATTAATCATCGGTCTATTTACCGTCTTAAAGTACTTACCGGGATATTTTGGATCGACGTAGTTGTTCTGTCTGTGAAATTTGAGTGCGCTAATTAAACTTTTCAAGTGCACCGTTAACCTTAAGTGTGATGATAGGTTTAGGAATTTTGTAATTTTAGAGCTAAATGAAACTCTCCATCAGATACTTCCGTGATTATTGACTGTCCTCACTTGGTTGCATAATGAAAAGGTCTGATCTGACTTCCCAATCCACCCCCCTTTTAATTTTCAGAAATATGGCTCTAGCGCTTGACCGCATGGTCCTCCATCGTGTTGACGGATTTCCTTATTTCCGGTGCAATCGATTTTTATGCACTTCACAATTTTTATTATATCAACTACTCTTAAAAACGCCGCTCTTTTATAATGGACGCATTGCTCAATGGAAATGATGTATCTCATTTAATTGTAGTTAAGCTACTTCTAGCGATGGTTACGGATTGGAGAGATGATGCTTCCAACTGCTATTGCTAATTCTGAAAGCCATCCTTTTTGTAAATCAACTTATAAATATTTATACCCGATATGAGTAAGCTGATGGGGTTCCAATCCATGTTGTCTTATGTATAGTTGGTTGTAAAGCCAATTTAAGTTTATCCAACAGAAATCATCTAGATAGCAGTCAGTTATAAGTTTTTTTTTCAATATCTATGCTTAACAGTACATACTTCGAGTCTGATTAATAGTTCCTCCTTTTTCGTAAATCATATGCTAGGTCATATAAGGTCAAATTTTGTATCTTATAAATCGAGTTCTCGTGATTTTATTGAAGTCGCCTAGGGAATTCGTCCCAAGACTAACTTTACTTAAACCTGTTATTCGATCAGCCATTTTACCACAATCTTAAGAGGAAAACATAAATAGCATTTCAGGAATGTCTTTGGCAGATCTACTTAATGCCTGCTTTATGCGGTAATAATTGAGTAGGTGATTTGATAAGTGTATGAGAAAGTCTACTCCACAAGTAGGCCGGTGAATATAAGCAGGCAGCGGGGAAAGTGGTACGCATGTAATTATATGAGCACCTGAGTAGTACCTGCTTTTCTTCTAGGAGAGAGGTGGCCGGTTAGATACTCTTTGATGTAACCTGGAGAGGGTAATTCCTAACCTCACTGATCAAGTCTGGCTGTTAAAGATGGTGATGAAATTAGAAATTTTTCACCAAGGAGTCTTTATTATTCTTCCCCTCTGCTCAAGATTAATACTGCGAAGAATTGTCCTGAATATGCCTGGCGAAGCCGATATTTAATAACAAATGTATTCTAATTCTCTGTTTAGGGTTATTAACATTACTGTGTGCTTTTATAGTGGTCTTTGGATTCACCATGGCCGCCAACGATTCCCTCTGCACTATAATTGTGATTGAATTCCTGGGTTTGAGTCGGCTTGTAAGTGGCCTTGGCCTCTGTCTCTTCTGCCAAGGTTTCGCATCTATTTTCGGGCCTCCTGTCATTGGTGAGTTCTTATTAACATCCGATACGCCCATTAAAAACCTAAATGACAACGCTATTGCTTGTGTACGTTCAAATCTAGTTACTTTTTTTCAATTCATTCATGGGTGTTTTAATCCGCTACTACTACTAACTTGAATGTCAACAATCATTAGGCCTTTTTTGACTAAACCTACAACACCCAGAATCGGTCACTTTTCATTCGCCTAGTTATCTGCCAGTTGTATGATTGAATGGATCTCTTCTAAGGCTGTGGTTCCCATAGTCTCCATCACTTTCTCATTTAAGATAGAGTACAAAAAGATTCATTCGAAAGACCTCTGCCAACATAACGAGTGCCACCTCACAGGGTATACCAATAGTGATTTCATCAAAAATTTCGAATGAGAGGTAACAGTTCCACTGAATGCAAGTTCATCATTTCAACTGATTATCTTACTTATAAGATTTCTTAGAACTAAGAGAATTGTTTAATTACACGTATGTAGCTTCTGAATACTTCCTCCTTTTATTTACAAAGAGTAGGCTTGCGCACACACAACTCAAATTTTTGGTAGAACAACGTTTAACCAAACTATTTCGTCTTTTCAAATATTTAAAGCTGTTTTTTGCAAGATGCCTCTGCTGGCAAAAAAATCGTTTGCAAATTCTCCTTGTCTTTAACCCTGACAGACTTAAATTTTCAAATGAAAACTTGGTATCTAGGCCGTGGCAAATAAAACTTTAAGGAAATACACTTGTCTTCTTTTCTAATTACTACCCTTAACATTATTTGTAAATATTTATATTAGATGGCAGGCTTTATGATAATTACCATTAGCCCTTTAGTTAACTTCGGGCTTCGCAGAGAGGAGGAACATCAAAGTATCAAAAAGTCGAGAGGGGGACAGAAGAGTGATTTCAAGATGTAATAGGTACAGACACAATGGTCGAGAAAAAGATAAGGTGAGAAATGTGGAGGTGGTCGAATACATGCATACTGTTGGATCATGGTGGTTTGAAGTCAACTGCCGATTTGTAGACTTGTTTGACGTATGAGTATATTACCCAAGGTGCATCACGCGGAGGTAAATCTATCGCGAACCCCCCCCCCCATTTGTAAATATAATTATCAAATAAATAAGGTTAGGATTATTGTCATTGCCGCTCCATTTCCTTGGCACTCTCAACCCTGTTAAGCTAAGTTAATCCAACCTGCTTAATATCCTTTACGATTAGTCTACATTACCACTCTTATCCGAGAACAAATTTACTTCAACTGGTAAGACCGATCAATTAGACAAACGCCAATAAGAACTATACACCGTTGACAAAAAATGGAATCAGCCACCCAGGTGATGACTCGTGAAAAATAGGCGAACAATCCTTCCTTTTTTAAATTAAGTAAATTTTTTTACCTTGACGAAATAAGATGCTAAAAAGTTCTATATATCTCTCTGTTCATCACAAAATCCATCGATTTTAACAAGAGCACCTTTTCGTAGCAAATAGTAAATCGAAATAAACTGTACTACCTAAATCAAATTAGCAGCACCTGTTTTGCACATTTTAGGCTTTATAATAGACGCGACGGAGTCCTACACTGTAGCGTTTACAGTCGGTGGTGCCGGTATCCTTCTCTCTGGCTTGGTTATGTGCCCTGCAATAATTCGGCAAATCCAGCACCGGCAAGCCAGAAAGCGGCGACTAGAAGCACGAAAACGAGCAGCTATCGCGAACTGTGCGGCGGCAACTGGCGATGGCATTCTAATTTGCTCGAGTCCTCGAGACATGACCCCACCAACTAGCCTTCAGATTACTTAATATACATACAATGCTATTTCTTTAAATAATGTGGGCTTTTTCATCATTGGTAGAGAACTTTCATAAGCTCACTCTTACTTGTGAGCTTATAAAGAAATATAAATCAAAAAGAATAAAAAAGACGATTATTGTTTTATAAAAGACCATATTTTAGAAAATTTGAAATACATATACAATACAATTTCACCCAAGCGGACTGCAAACACAAAATGCTTTACAATTTTTTCAAGATGTATCTTAAACATGAAAAAACAGGTTTGTTTCGGGGGAAAGGGGCGATACAGACTAAAACAATGGATGTGATTGCAACTTCACAGACTAGTATGGGGTGCCGAAGTAAGTCCGACGACGTCTATAGAGATTTGAAAGGAAATGAAAACATTTTATAACATAAATTAAAACAGAATACGTATTAATAAATCAAATACCCACCTGAAACGTGAAATTCTCGGTCTAGCCATAGCGTAACTAAATCTAATTCCATAAGGATTAAATCTACGCCGAGGTCGTCTGAAACCGCGCGAAGTAGTAGATATTCCGGGGATGTTGGTTCGCTTTGGCATCACTTTAATTGAACGCCCTCTGAAATTTGAATCATCAAGAGCAACTGCAGCCTCAATAGCATCTGCACTCTCGAACTCGATGTAGGCAAATCCTTTAGGTTGGCCGGTAAACCTATCGACCTGAATAGTTACACGGTTTATCGCCCCGCAACAACGAAAGTGGGCCTCCAATTCGTCGGCTGTGGAAGCGTAATCGACATTTCCAACATAGATTGAGCGTAAATCCACTTCCGCCTTATCTTCTTCGGTCATCGAACGATCTGAAACAAAGGTATTAGGGTACGAAAATGCAAAATACCATTTGACTTTTCAGGAGCAGTTATGTTGTGAAGCTTTCCAGCATCTTCCTCTACTTCCTTCAGCCTATCCTTGATACGTTCCAACTCTACGTCCTCCTTCAAGGAATCATCAAACGATCCTTCATTTTCCCCCTCAAGCATTGCGTCCAGTACGAAATCAGACATTGCAGGTGATCAAAAAGTGACTACTACTGGCTATAAATTTAAACAAAGATGGGTGTTTAATAATTTAATAAAGTAATGAATATTTAAAATGTTTAAAACCCTTCCCCCAAACGAATTGTGTTTTTTAAACAAGAAATATTGAAATATTGTTCGAAAGAAATAAGCTACGCATAACTCGTTTACTTAAAGTATAAATTCCATTTCGGCAAATATTGAGTAAATAGAAGTGATTACATAAGAATCCATACCGAAAATGAATAAACCCGCATGTTTTACTATAATCAATCAATTTATGCAAAATATTTTAGACTTTTCCGCGACATTAAAACTTATCTCGAACTACAATGCTGTAGCGGATCGTTACACTAATAAACCTGGACTGATGCTCAGCAAGATCCCATCGTTTTGAATGGACCTCTAAGTTATTTAAGCTCCCTCAACGGTGTGGAGGAAACAGACGTATGACGTTGAGTATGTTCATTTGGGCTGTGAGAAACTGGCACAGTATTTAGTTAGTAAATAAAAGTTAAGTTACTTTGACCATGCTGTGGCTATTGATTGGCGGAGTAGTCAATGCGTTCATGCCCTCATTTCCTCCCAATTGGGAATATCATCACGGCATCTCGTTCCATAATGCTCGAACACGCAGATGATTCTTCAGTTTATTCATGTTAACGTTGTGTTCCCCACAAGGTGCTTCCTATTTCTTACTATCTCAACTCGGTCTTTCATATAAATTGATAGAATAATAGGTCGGGATAGGAAACTCATATTAACTATCATGCGTGCCATCCTATACGGAGTCAACATATTTAACATCACCTCAATTTCAGAAGTTATGAGAAGTATTGCACTGTTACTTATGAAACATGCATGCTGAAAGCCCGTTGACCGAAAATAATCCATATTAAGCATACCATAAAGTTGTGGAGTCCGAATGAAGGGCGAGAATTTCAATATTTAATTTTATTCACCGACCATCATTTGAAATTTTTTCACTTTATCAAACACTCCGATCATTTCTCTTCTTGTTCACTTGCAGTATCACTTTGAAGATACTGTCCCTTTTTCACTCATAAACATTAGGAAGGCTTCTTTCAACAATAATCCTGATTAAAACAGCCTCTTGATTTATAAACTGGAATTTTATTACCTTTTTACAAGCTAGACTTCTCCAGTGCGATTCTGTTTATCCGATATGAGCAGATTGGTAACAAACCCACGACCTCTAACTTGGCAGACGAGCACGTTAGCCACTGGTGTACATTCATGAAAATAGTATGCGAGAGCCCCTAGATGACCGATTGGTTGAGAATTTCATCTATATTTGACAAAAATATTAAAATTTTCTGATTCATCCACCTCATTACAACTCAATAGAACCCGACTTGAGTGAGTGAAGGCATACCAGAACCACTATTACAAGATGCATACCGACCTAGTAATGAGCACGTTAATTAATACACTATCGGTATTCAAAAGGAGTGGTTTAAATTTAAGACTAACCTTAACTTAGGGGTAAAAATTCAGTTGATCATATACAATTCATAATAGTTAGAAGCAACATAATTACAAGAAAAGGAAGTAAATCTGATAATTAATCTTCATGCGAATGGGTTTCAGTCGAAGTAGACGCAGAAACCGAAGATTGAGTTCGGGAAATAGAAATTGGGGGAGGAGGAAGAGACGGGAGAACTGCATAAGCTGCCGCATTTCTTCTTTCCAACCGATAATCCTGATGATCTAGAAGGTGACCCAGAGATTTGAGCACAGCTGACAAGTGTTGACGCATTTTTCGCCAATCCAAACACGAGGCCACAAAGTAGAGGATGCTGAGAAAGAAGATGGCCCAAATTAGAAGTAAGAATCTCTCATCCGTTTGCCGAATTAGAAGTTGATTAGGAATGGGTCCCAGAAAATCCGATCTGCGGAGTTCTACTGGTCCCTGTGGCATAATACCTTAAACGAAAAGGTTACCTTTAGAAAGTCTCACTCATAAAAAAATCATTAAATCACAATATCAACTTACGCAAATGACGCCAGACAAAGTCTACCATTTCATCCAATTCAGAGTCTGTGCCATTGAATTCTCGATAAACGTTGTCGCCAACAAAGATTTTCAACTTTGGAACATAGAAGACACGCAGTGACCACCGATAGCGTAGATACTCATCCACATCTATGGCGATTACTGGAAGTTGAGGAAAGGCTCGAGCTAGAGCGTTGATGGAGGGAGCTATGGCCATTGAGAAGGGACACCTGTATTGATTAATGACTTAGTATTAGTCGCAACAAACCAAAAAATACTAAACACTAGAATAATTAACCCCGCGGAAAAAGGGATTCCGTATAGCTCCGGGATTATCTGCTTGCTGAAATATAAATAACTGTAGGGAAGGTTGAGCTTTATAAGATGAAAAAAATAAAAAAAACTTGGTAATTTCAATCATTCCACTCCAGGATGGAAAAAATTCAGAAGCGAGGGACAAATCATGATGGCGTTTTGAGGACGAAATCTTGCATCATTAAAATCTAACTATGGCTTTAGCGGAGTAACTCACACCCATTCAATTCCGAAGGAAACAACGTACTAAGTATCTACTAAAGGTAAGACTTTGAATTAAACTGTACATTATTACCATTAGAGCAACACAGTTTACCTCAAAGAAGGAAGATTAAATTTGTAGTTATTGCGCTGATAATTAATATTCAAACCTACGATAAGACAAGCAAATCCTGAAAGTCTTTAGCAATGAACCATTGGCTTCCTAAATAAAACAACTAATCTAATTTGAATAATTAAACAGGAAAGTGCTAAAATGGATTTGAATTCGGGTTCAATACAAGATTCTCATTCTATTCTATCAAGGAAACCATCCATGATGAAATAAGAACCAACTGAAATGAATTTGCTTGACAAACGACTAATTGACCAGCAGTGAACATACATAGATCACGAAATCGAACAACTAACACAATAAATTGATCTTCCTATATTTCAGTAGGGAATTCCCCTGACTTACGATAAGAAATTTCAATTAAACTCGACTTGATAGACTGCAACAATACTTCATACAATAATCTTAATAAATGGTGTAACACTAGACACATGCTTTCATCATAACATTAACAAAAGCGCTCAAGCCGAGAGGGTAATAGGACATTCGGATACGATTGCTTATGAAATATAAATAAGTACGGTCGGTGGAATGGCAAAATAGCAGGTCTGATAGATGACATATTGAAAATAAACACAAGTAAGTTCATTGCTTTCCCTCAACTAATAAAGATAGGATAGGATTCAGTTAAGAAATTAAGAAAACTTCAATAAGGGACTGGAGGAAACAAAATTTTTCCTCTTTCAGGGACGAAGTTTTAAATATTATCTGAACGACAAGAAGTAGTAAAGAATAAGCAGATTTCAAATGATTAAAGAATGATAATAAACAATGCGCACCACCGAGCGTAGATGAAAACAAGACTACACTGACTATCCACGAAAATAGGTTCACGTCTAACAGCCGACAGTGTGTTTTTTTCTGATTTCCTTTTCTTATTTATAAGAACGTAGTTGTTACTGCCTTGACTCTGGGACTCAGATGGAGCGAGAAAGAAAGGATTGAAAATTGAGAAAAGACGTCTCTTGTGTCGATGGATCGGAATTTCACGATCGACGCCAAAAATATCATGTGAAGTAGATAAATAATGCTGCCCCATTCCAATAGCGGATTCAAATTGGTGACCTAAGACAATTTTAGCTTGACCCTCGGTGTAATTCCAATAATTGATAGGTCGAAGGCGACACCGAATTAAGATATTGTCATTACGCTCCGACCCGTCAATATTCTTGGACCATTCAGATGAAGGATCTAATTAAAATGAACAAAAAACATATAGATACTTATTAACAACATAAATAATGTCAAATTAGATCGTACAATATACCTTGGGCTGGAGAAGATTCATTAATTATATCAGAAACCCCATCATCCAATATGTTTTCATCATCTTTCACAATGCAGGTTGTTAATAAAAGGAAAGAAAAGAAAATAGTGGTAGATAAAATAAAATTCCTAAAAAGCATCTTCCCTAATAACAAATTGTAAGATCCGAACCCCCAGGTTGCAAAAATTGAATCTAGGCTAAGCTAGCGATCACGCAAACCAATAGGAGGGCTTTTTTGATTTAAAGACATAACACTACAAAATTAAATTAAATGGCCTAATATAATTTAAATACCCCGTCGAAATATCTGCATTTTAAAATAGCCAGTGTGTCTGTAATGTTTTAACACATGCGCCAATGCTTGTGTGTCGACTAACTATATGTCCCCATTCCCGTTTCATCCCCCTATTCCACGGACTTCCAAATGGTGCCAATCCCTCCTTAAGACTATTTATGTAACTTGCTTGCATTAAATCCTTTATCACAGCTTATCCGTTCCTGTAAAATGCTTACATTTATCGCTCTTTCAAAAAACAAATAATTTATGCTAGTATTAACGTACGAATTCGAAATCACTTAAACTGCTTTCAATCCATTATTAACGACAATAGGGATTTGAAATCTTTCTTGAACCTGCCCAATAAGGGCTTCTCACTTAACACTTAGATTCAACTTATTGATCATTCATTTGATCTTTCTTGGCTAATATTTCTCCAGGCTCCTGGGGTCCATGAAATCACCTCGCCTCGAAAGTATACGCGACCCCAATTTCAATCTATCGAATCTTTTTCGAATCCGTTATGGCCTATCTAACATCGTCACTCTTCTTCGATATAGATTACGAAATTTTTGTGCTTAGTATTTCTTGCAAATTTCTGCTCTGAAGTATTATATAATTCGATAACTAGCTCACTCAGGTCAAGCATTAAAAGCTGTACACACGTTAAACGCTAACATAAATTAGGTTGTATCGTTAATATGCCCTAAGTAAGGATGAAGCAATCGAAGGCGGATCAAAAAATGCAAATTGAGATACAATGAAGCTCAACTAATACAGCTGAAACCAGCCTTATAATCTAGTTTGCTTAACAAAGATGCATCATGGGAAACTAGGCATAATGAACTTTAACCAATACTTTGATAAAGCTTGCGCATTTACATTAATTTCGAAAGTTGGATCCCAGGATAGGTGCAATAACGAAATTGCCACAGAGGAATTTAAATGACCTAATGCATAATGCTGGATTCAATTCAAAGCTCTATGAAGGGTTGCATTATTCAGAAAAATATTCGGCCTCTTCCATTTTCATAACCTTTTGTTAAATTATATGAGTTTGAAGTTAACAAGATACAGTCGTCAGATATTTAAATATAGTGTAAATTCACAAATAACATAAAATTTCACTGTATTCGATCTGTGTACACTGACAGAGTTAATACAATGTTGATATTGTGAATAATATTTGACATTTTAAACCGATATTTTCTGTATGATCTTTCTTCTTCTGCCCTGAAGTCAACATAAAATGTAAATAAAACTCGAAACATAGCTATTTTAGTGATAGAATAATTACGTCGTTAAATAAAACTTTAATGCGAGTTTTAATTTTTCGATAGGACAAATCGGTGTTCACTGCTCCGATTTCAACGCGCTTGAGTTTTCTTCTTCACATTTAGCAGGAGCGTAATTGTAGAAAATGCTAAATACTAAGGTAGTAAATTTTATTTTGAGAAATATGTAGCTTTCAGTGCTTTCAATCGCCAAGGCTCGATGATTCAGGAGATTCTTGGCTGGGGAATCTTGATCTGACAACACTTGCAGCAAATCACTCATCTCCAAAGCGTTCTACACCCGAACGTCGTAATGTTCGTATATCAAATAGCCGTACTCCCAATTCTCCTGAACGTGCAGAATCAATGTCATTTCGAGAGCGTATTTTGCTTCAACTTCACATGAACTCCGCTCTGGATACTTCAGTTCGACATTCCATTCGTGCTCAATCTTCCCCTTCCACTGAATCGCAAATCAAACTCGCCAGTCAACTCAGTTATCGCGACGCAACTAACTGGCTTTCTTTAGTTGGATTACCTTGTCGTGTTAAGGAGCTTCTTCAGCAACATCGTGGCATAAGCAATCTCTATGGTAACGGTCAGTTTGTACATATTTTATATTCCTAGACTGGCAGATGCAATGCCTTAAATTAGCTGCAACTTCAGACCGAGCAAATCTTATTTATAGTCTCCCAACAAGTGGTGGGAAAACCCTAGTCGCTGAAATCATGTTGCTCTCAGAGGTTCTAGTTACTCGCAAAAATGTCCTCTTTATTCTTCCCTTTGTCTCAATTGTTCAAGAAAAAGTACGGAGCCTCAATCCCCTGGGTTTGGATTTGAATTTTCTTGTGGAGGAATATGCCAGCAATAAAGGCCGTATTCCACCTATTAAAAGGCTGAAGAAGTGTTCTGTCTACATCGCCACTATTGAAAAGGCCCAGAGCATTGTTAACAGCCTTATTGATGCTTCTAGACTGGAGGAACTCGGGTTGGTTATTGTTGATGAATTACACATGTTGGGCGAGGGTGGCTCACGTGGAGCAGCTTTAGAGCTTATTCTAACTAAATTGAAAATAGTTTCTCGTAAGTTGATGTCATTTAATAAGTTTAATTTAGAATTTAGCCCAAACGCGAATTATTGGCATGAGCGCAACCCTCTCTAATCTCTCGGAACTGACGGACTTTCTCAATGCCAAACTTTACACAAATGACTTTCGACCGGTTGATCTTGTTGAATACATTAAAGTCGGTGATAATCTATACAAGATTCTTCCTTCTCACAGAAATTCATACTGCCTATCCGAACGTGTTGAACATGAGAGGGTAATCAATTTTCAGGTACTTTTCAATATTTTATACCATTATTTTTGGATTTCGAATTATAGTTGAAGAAATTGTTTATTGTGGGTATCATGGCACTAATAACTCTTTATATTCGTTAATAATCAATTTTCTACTTTTGTATGGAAATCAAGAGGGAGAATGAACTGATATAGATTTGGTGAGTTCCTTTTCTTTGGTGATAGAGCTCAATCGATACATCTGCTAGTTCTGACGTCATCGGTTTGATACGCAGATAACCACATTTCTGAATTTTTGCATAAATCAGTGCAAACTTCATTATCATCAGTTAAATTATGTACAAGAAATATGGGTTGGGGTATGGATATGTACCACTGTTATTATTCCATTTATTTACATATCCAAATGTCACTCAATTACTCTTATCGGGCACATGGTTTGTGTCATGAAGCCATCCTTGTGATCAAACCCGAGTGTATTTATGTTGAGAACTCAAGCTTATGGTAAATCTCAACACTTCAAAACTGTAGCCTTCTAATTTCACTCTCAATAAATGCAGCATTTAAACTTATTTTGCATATTCGTAGTAGTAACTTCTATGCAAATTAAATCAGAGGTCATGAGATTAATATTTATCTATGCACATTTCTTGCCAGTGGTTCTATAATGCTTCATTTCTGTTTCAGGTAGCGATTTTATTTCCTCCATATCCTATTTCTGATAATAATAATAATATGGGTAATTGATAGACACGGACCTTCGGTTATTATTGTCTTCCTTATTTTGTAGTATCCAGATGAGGTGAAGAAACGAGATCCCGATCATCTCGTTGGTCTTGTTGCCGAAGTTCTTCTAGCCCCTTCTGTACACGGGACAAGCCGATCTCCCTCCTGTCTGGTTTTCTGTCCCACCAAAGCTCACTGTGAAAATACCGCACGATTGCTAGCTGATCTTTTACCGGTGCAGGTCGATAATACAGTTGGCGAGGAGGTGCGTAAGCGACGCCAACAACTCCTTGCCAACTTGAGGTTGGATGCTCAACGAGAGCCGAACCCCGAAGCTTTGGAGGCTTGCTGTCCTATTTTGGAAGCGACTATTCCTCGTGGAGTTGCCTATCATCACTCAGGGTTAACTCAGGAGGAGAGAAGGGAGTTAGAAGAAGCTTTTCTTGAAGGAGATACATTGAGAGTTATTTGCTGTACGTCTACTCTTGCTGCTGGTGTTAATTTACCCGCTAGACGGTATGTGTTTCGAATCCTCTTTTTCATTATTTCTATTAAGTACATTTTTGGGATAAATATTGGGCTATAAGGAAGGTGGACGTTTAATAAAAAATTTAACGGATAGACATTTATTCTTGAATACTTCAATTTATATTGAAACCAAGTAGTGATTGGTTCTTTTTGACCCTAAATATTTAAGCCCACATTGTGCTAAAGGCACTTTTTCTTTAGGGTAAAGTATTTTATTCATAAATCAGTTCATTTAAGGTATCAATATACCTGGATCTTCAAAGGTTCACAAAATTGAGTGATAGTCTTACTTTTGGAAGAATCCCATGAAACATCTGCGGTTAATTTATCATCGTTTTAGAAATCAGTTTGATAGGAGCGCCTTTGTATTGATTTTCGCAGTATTTTAACTAAATCACTGACAGCTTGAATTAATGTACTTTCTTACAATCACCTGTAGCCTATCAACTTCCCTTCTATTATCTGGACTAAAGCATTACTGTCGGTTGTACCATTCACTGGTTGTCCACTGATGAGTTTCAAATCAGTGACTCCTAAATTGGTATCCTAAGCCATAGCAATTCTAAAATGTTCATATCTTCTCTAAATACTAGTTGTTTCACATAGCTTCCTTCGTTTCAGTGAAAATGGGAAAAAATGACACTTAGTGTTGATAATATTGGGTGGGCAACTAAGTCATTGCCGTTTTTGTT